AATTTTCTTAGGGCGTGCTTCGGCACGGGTATTATGTACAAACCTATAAAACACCAGAAAAAAAACATATAAAATATCATCTTCCAGTCTAGGTAGCTTTTAGGGTACAAACAGTCAGTCCACGTTTGCTCACTAGGATCGTTGTGAGCGTCCATCTATGGAGGGATGACTCAACTAAACTACACTCATTGTTGGTTGCAGAAGAAAGCTGGTTGAACAACAAGATATTTGCTGTGTGAAAAAATCATTACTGAATATGCTGCCAGTGAAGTTTATCCGTCAGCTGTTGTCCTTTCTGGAGACGGATTATGTTCAAAGTTATAAATCACGAAAAACTTTGAGGAGGATTACGAGAAATCATCACCACGCCCGCCTTCTGTGTAATTAGTGTTAGCATGTATATGACTTGTAATTCGACAGTGTACAGTGAATATAATTATTTCTTATCTTTCACATTTGGGTAAGGAAAAGTTAATGCGCAACTAATTTCTAGCTTTGAATCTCAAGTAAGTGTATTTGAGACAAGAATCCAATGGAATTATTATCAACACATACAACTTACAGCTTAGACCTCCAGTAATGCTATCTCTGAAGCAGATTATACATCACATCAGAGCCAAACATTGATAAATGGAGCCTAATGACGTTTAGGCAACACGTACAACTACAAAATGAATTCACAACGTATCCATCAGCTAGTGCTAAGTTAACATCTTGTAGAAAAACCTACATAATGTCTCAAAAAACCAAAACAATGCCAAAAAACAACAGCATAGTGTCATTTTTCAAGATACGTGATACCCGTGCGGGACCCAAGCCCCCCCCCCCCCCCCCAGTGGGTGGAAGGAAGTACTTGGCGCCTTGTGTAAAAAGTTTTGTTATTTTGAATGTGATACTGAGTTATTTTTGTGTTTGTAGTAAATATTATATAAATCAGATTCGAAAAACAAGACAATTACATCAAGTAAACACTGTCATTAAAAAGTAAGATTATGGGGCCGACTGGCTGTCACAGTGGGATAGTGATGGGAATTATCGAAGATGTGCACTGCACACCTGCACTGTGGTCGGTAATTATATATCGATACTACCTGTATTCATTTCAAACGTACTGTTATATTTTGTCACATAACAATGATATATATTTTTACCGATTGTACGACGTACTGATTACCCAAATATTTGGAAAAACAGAGTGTCACAGAAAAAAATCAAGTAACAAAAAGATGAGTTTCGTCTGGTCATTTATGTCATACGTTAAATTTTATTTAACATATAATTGTGTCCAATGGGGTGTAGTATTTCCAGATACTAATTCATTTTAACAAGTGTGGAATACCTATGTTATATAGAAAAGGAGTCTGCTGGTGAGGGATCCTTTTGTATAGTGGCAAATTCAGCTTTAATGTCATTGACTTGCATTGATTTTATAATTTATTATAATGGTTATTATATCAAAAAATAGTAAAAACTTGACAGACGTATTCGAATTTCGTTATTGTCTGAAATCGAATACACACTCCATCTCTAGCCCACACAGGGGCTCAAGAAAGAAGGGTTTCCATTTAACATTTTGCAGACTTTCTATTTGGCTTCTACCATTTTTTCTAAATTTTTTTACAGCAAATGGAACAGTATATATTCGTCTAAACCAGATAAATGTGTTTAAAATAACTGTAAACCCATCGTTTTATTATTATTACTATGCATTATCATTATTATTATTATAATCTCTATTTGTCTTGAAGGACGACATCAATCAATTTGTTGAAATCTACCTCTAATTGTCAACCGATATATTTCAGTAGAAATCGACTATATGCATTTGATCCATTACTATGAAGGCGCCTCCTCATTGGTCCATTTTGATCCGGATTAAGAATTTAGATCCCGCGGAACAATAGTGAAATAGTCTTACACCCTGTAAAATGTATCATTTGACTTTATAATTTTTTATGCCGAACTTTCAGTATTTAGCACATCGATATATTCAGGATCTCTATTTGTGTGAGTATATTTGCTTGACAGCATGTTATTATTCTGCTATATCAATTTGAGAGGTAGTGTACACAATCTGAAACTCCCTGTAGGATTTATTACACTTGGCTTTTCATCGGCATGTTTTCATATTGGATTTCCAGCGTTTAGCGCATCTATTTGTGCGAGTATATTTGTGTGACTGGTTAATTTTAAATCCGTTCACCGGTAGGCCAGCGACATATTTCATGTATCTCGCCGCATAACTGGCCGCCGGTTTTAAATTTAGCAGTCTAATGCCTGTGAGGTTTTTATGCGAAAAGGATGCTCTTTGACAATCTGCACGGACAGTGTTGACCGGTAGCTGGTGTCGCGATCATATATCGAGTCGAGTTTCGCGGAGGGGTTTTGAAGACGTCACCCCTACATCAGGTGAAACCAGAAGCTGCAGATTGTAAGTACTAAGTAATGCAATTGACTAAAAGTTCTTAGTCCTTGATCCGTTACTCTCATTTATCCTACTTTCAGATTCTTATGTACCATACTTGCTCTCAGATGAGCTAAAGTTAGAGTACGTGAATAATTTTGATTCTCTGCCTCGAAAGAACGCGCCCATTAGAAGATATTTTTAATGCAAGATATAGGAGCATAAATACATATTAATTCTGCAGCATTTTTTGCTAATTTCAATTATTATTATGGCAAAAGCAGCCCAGAATAATTATGTATGTAGATATCTTGTCGGCTATATACCCACAGTATCAAAGTGAATACAGTAAGATTTGGTTTGTCGGCGAATTCTTCCATAATGTTTTGGGTTTCTTCTTGCAATCTAAATTAAAATAAGAATGAGTCAAGAAACAATATTTGTTCAGAGCATCTTTGCTTAACAAAAATATTGGGGCGTAGCATCAAATGAGAAAAAATACCTTTAGACCCTTAAACACCTGCCGGTATGGAGTCTTACTAAAGAAAAGGGTCAGATGAGTTTAAATATCACACCAACGTAAGCTAGGCTTTTATTACAATTTGGAGCAGATATACAATGTGGAAAATAGTATATATAGACTTTCTAAGATGATGTAACTCTAGGCTGATATCAAAATAACAAACTGAAATTAATGAACTCGACACTCCTTTTTTATCGTTTTCGATATTTTGAAATATATAGTATTGCAGCATTAACCAAATGAGACCTCAATACCTCCGCGTAAGATACGGTCTGCACTAAAACTCGCTCAGCTACGCACTGCCAGAATACTTCCGATCATGCCCGGCCAGTCGCGATTAAATCTCCTAGCTCACTCTTGTTCGAAATGGAGCTGAGCTGTTAAATCGGCCAGCCAGAAATGAGCGGATGTATTCTGGCGACCTGTGGTTCAGCGAGTTGTGTGCACTTGGTGGCGCAGACCATCGGATTCGCGGAGGTATCGACTCATGGCTAGTGAAGAAAAAGTACATTTTCCTATCTAAATGTCCTAGTGCTAGTGTTGGCTTCAAAGTTTACCATACAATGGATGACAAAGTAGTGGCTTCGCGGGTTGCAGAATATGTTCCTTATCAACAACTACCTACTAAACTTGACATCAACAAAGCTTCTTGTCCTGAATTGATTCCTCCCGTTGTATTGAAGAGGTGCACAGCGGAGCTTGGCTCCAGTTCTTTGATGTCTCACCCAGATATCTCACGAAATCGGGCACCTTCCCAGAAAACTGAAAGTTTGCTCATGTCCGACCCATCAAAAAAAAGGATCTAAGACGGACCCTTACAGCTACAGTACTATAACTCTGCTTTCTGTTATGAGTAAGGTAATGGAGAGGTGCATAAATTGCATGCTTCTGGACTACCTCGATGGTCACGGCTTGATTAGCGACAGGCAGTATGGTTTCCTTCACCAGCAATCCACAGGTTATCTCCTAGTTTACGTCACACAATTGTTGAGTAAGCTCATCCAGTGTTACGGTGAGGCTCATGTCGTCCCTCTTGATATCACGAAAGTGTTTGATCAGCTGTGGCACGCTGCCCTCTTATGCAGATTTCCATCCTATGGCCTCCCTGAGAAGCTTTGCAGATCGGTGGCTGACTTTCTCTCTGGCCGCAAGATATCCGTCGTAATTGCTGGATTTTCCTTTTCATCCCACGTCAACGTGGATGCTCCCCATGGATCGGTGTTGACTCCGACACAGTTCCTCTTACAGATTAACGAAATAACGACCTCCTTTCCTGTGCGATCGATTCAATTTACAGCTTTGCTGATGGCGACACTCCACATGCAGGAATTCAGAGGGACAAGCCGATCTCTGTCGGTGAGCTGGAAAAAAGAAGACTAACAGCGACTTCCTCTTTGATGAGAGACCTGGAGGTTATTACTGCCCGGGGACGCAACAATATTGTGCAGTCTAATTATTCCAACTGATCGGTGTCTCTTCTCTAATAGACAGCCTCGGGACCCTTTCGCAGGGGCGCGGCGATCTAAGTTTGTTCTACCGCTACACAGAGAGGCTTTGTTCCTCAGAGCTCTTCTCCATTATGCCGCCTGACTTCGGCCTCCCGTCCTAACATTGTCGAACTTCGTACAAGAGGAAGCTGTTCCCAGCTCTATTAACCTTAGGTAGTTAACAAAATTTCATTGGGATCTTGATAGCAGCCGCGGTGTCCGGACATATAAGCTTCCGCCTGCGCAGCTGCTTCAGTGTAAAAAAAGTTCAGAAGTATGTCATATACGTTATTATATCAACCTTCTTTTCTGAAAGGATAATTCGAAGGTAAATGTGTTCCGAATATGCCACCATCCATTGTAACGCATAGAGTGTTTATTGAGAACTTGTACTTGTAGTAGTTGATCAGAAAAAGTTCACGTTTGAAATCCTATATGTGGGTCGGTGGCTACGCATGCCTTTTTGTGAAGAGTATGATCATGTGGAATCCTTAGATTTTTAGTTTAATGTACGACTCTCTTGCTTTACCTATTTGAAATACTTAAGATTTACAATTCTAATCAATAATATTTCAGACTTTGAAACATGAGCGGCCCTTTCAAACGCCGCCCTTCCCTGAAGACCCTACCCTCGGTGGGTCTACCATCAGACGCCGGCATTCGCAGGGCTTCCATTCGCCGCCAGTCGTCCGTAGGCCTGAAGACAGTGCCTGCTGCTCAACAGGAGGTACCATGGGACATGCTCGACAGATGCACCTTGCCCGTTCTCTTCTGTCACGCATCAGCCATCATCCTTAGCACCACGCTCAACGTTCTGCGTATATCCGACGTGTCTACGTTCACCCTGTTCATATGGTTCACTATCGTGACGATAGGGGCTGTACTGTTCTACCACAATTTGAAGGTGAGATATTGCAATAATTCATAACATAGCTTTCATATTTTAACTCCTATATACTCTTATATAATATACTAATATAAAACATCAAGCGAGGGATCAAGCAAGAGACAAATATCGCATCGAGTTAATAAAGCAGGACGTTATATAAGTCTACTAAAAGCTATATTGTGATCAAATAATAAGCAACGATACGTTAAGCTAAGAATATACCAGACAATTTTACAAAGCATTCTAGCATATGGATCAGAGGAATGGGAAAGTACAAAGCGGACAGTCAAAGAGTCGAGGCGACAGAAGTGGATTTATTCAGAAGATGCTGCGGAGTTTCGAAGCTACAGAAAAGCAGAAACGGTGAAATGAAGCAAAGAATGGACGTTTGAATATAGGTGACAGGATGGGTAATAGTCGGTGTCCGAAAAAAATCTTAATTTGGAAACCTCCTTCCAGAACGAAAAGAGCTATACCTCCAGAGGAATGGGAGAAGCAAGTCAGACCAAATATACGGAATGCGGTCTTGAAGATGACGTTTGGAGAGATAAAGAGGCATGAAGAAGGGGATGCGAGAAACGGCCGACGGAGCTGTAACAAAGTCGCCAATATATAGTAATATAGCCTCGTTCTCCGACCAGAGACGGCCAACCAAGGATAGCTGCTTCATACTATTTGGCAACTCCTCAGCATGATCTAGGCTTAGTCTCAGCTAGAACAACAAACGAAAGCAGATCAACTATCCTTTATCCAGAGTATAAAGCCTATCGAGCTAAGACAACATAAAGTTTCTTCTGTTACCAGAATCAACCACTGTGAGAATAAAAATAGCAAGCTGCTTGTTGTAACTGTATCCTAGTTCACATTATTCTGGTCGGACGCACGAAAGCTATATGAGTACTTTGTTCCCTGGCGGGTTAACAGTATCTACTATAGCACCAGGACCGGCGGTATTTAGCGGTCGCAGTGGTAACCCGGCACTATGCAGTATGTGCAGTCTCGTTTTGGTATTGCATATGAGCATATCAGTTTGTTATAGTATAAGCATATCTTTCAGGATGCCAGCAAATAGTATCTGTAGATGAAAAATTTTCTGAGACACCTTTTATTACTTCCGACATACCGCACGGTTCCGTTCTTGGTCCCATCCTCTTTTTGGTGTACACGTCAGACATCCATCTTCCTGTTTCCCATTTGTCAATTGTAGCTTACGCTGATGATCACAATTGCTGAAAGCTTTCACTTCATCCAAGGTATCTCAAGCAGTTAAAGATATTAATAGCGATCTCAATGGAATATTGAATTTCTCCAAGAACAATAACTTGAAATTAGATTCGTCTGAATCTTCTGATATGCTTTTTTGTTCAAACAATTGTCGAGATAATTTACTGTCGGAACTTGATATAAAAATTGGTGGAGTTTCATTGCCGTTAGTGGATTCAACCAAAAATTTAGGGTTAACGTTTGATAGCTCATCTATCTGGTACATTAAAAAAATGCTACTTCGTTTTGAAACGACTTTACTCTAATAAGCATATTATGAATTTTAAAACACAGAAAAGATTATGGGAACCTCTTATATTCCCTAATTGCTTATTGCATTACTATTTACTATCCATGTCTGGATGCTGCATCGAAAAATCGATTACAAAAGTTTCAAAACAGCTGTTGCAGATTTATCTACAATCTTAAGAAATATGATTCAACGTTGGGAAAAATAATTAACTAATACGGTTGAGAACAGACGATACGTATAGATACAGTCAGCTGCTACTATGACACATAAAATAATAACTTCTCAGTCTCCCCTCATGTAGGAAACTATTGTTTCACGGAAGAAATGATAACATCAATTTCAGATTTAAAAAACGACTTGAAATTCCATTATACAATACCTCGGATAAAGGTGGAAATTTTTTGTTTTTGGTTTTACCTTGATCTTTGTTTCTCTTTTTTTTATTCAACATAGGATTCATTGTGTTGATTGTTGCGTTTTTAATTAAAGTCATGTATAGTTTTTGTTATCTAAAATCGCTCTAATGTGTTATTCTGTGAGCCTGTTTTTTTTCATTCATTTATTATTGTTGATCATTTTCCGAAAGGTTGAGTCGAGTAGATGTTTTTTAGACTCCGCCTTTTAAGTGGCATTATATGAATGTAATGTATCCCTTAATAAAGACCGATTATTATTATTTTGGACTGATATGGAATAGATAATGATATCTTACTTACCACGCGTAATCCTACTTCAGATCGTCACAAAGGTTGTCTGTTTATTTGACTTTGCTTGGCTCATAACTTCATCGCCACTGCATATCACGTCGAAAATAAAGCAGTATTATCTGTGTTCTTCAAACTGTAGCCACTACTGCGACTATTCAGTTACGAAACATATTACAGACGGACAGACAAAAATTAGTGACAAAAAACTTGTTATTTGAAATTAATTCAACATGTTTGTGTTTCGATACGTACTTCTAACAGACGGTTTGAGCCACGTGTTGAACTCAAACTCGCTCAGCTACGCACTGCCAGAGTACATCTCATATCTGGCCAACCTCGAAGGTATCGGTTGGCAGTACACTTCACGCACATGCGTTGGGATAAAAATAATTCTCCCCTCTTTAAATTCTAATTACCTTGATTATCTGAAGTAAAACGTATACTTCTTTTCTCATGCACTATGTTCAAAGCCTGTATAAGAAACAGTACGTGCCTCATCTTCCTTCATCCCTAAAAATGGCACCCTACACCGACAAAAGTTTAGATTGACTCTCCACGATACTCGACCAATCAACTAAAAAGGAATTTGTAGTTCATTAATTTATTACAATTTCATCAAATTGTACTAGACGAAAATAAATAAAATAAAAGCTATGTTCAGAATAGAAAGCAAACACTAGCAAACATAAATCATACCTACTCATTGCATATGATTTAATGTGGTACTTATGTTTAATTTATAGTTTCCTTAAAAGCTTCCAATCTGGCATGTTTATTAAAGTATGTACTGGTGGATTTCATCAAAATTGCCCACCTCTGGTAGCACTTATTTTCTTTGAAATAGGCCCGGCAAGCTTTTAGGATATATATATATATATATATATATATATATATATATATATATAACTTGAGACGTGGTCATTGTCGTCTAGACCAGTTAGGTGAAAAATTAAAGCTTCCGCCTTTTGTTGTCGAAGTACCCAACAAAAGGCGGAAGCTTTAATTGTTCACCTATATATATACATATACCTAGTACCATGTCAAATTATGACAATCGGTAAAAATAAATAGAAGACTTAATTCAAGTTTATTGTTCTGAACAAAAGTTATTCGTCAAACAAGTTAAACAAGATGCTTTCGTCCGTCCGACCAAGAGAAGAAGACAGCTAACCATAAACAGCTGTTTCGTGCATCTTAGCTACTCGTCAGCATGGTGTAGTCCCGGTCTCTAATCTCTGGAGGAACAAACGAAAGCGCGGCTATGGTCTCCTCTATACCGGAGGTACCGCGCCATCTATCGCACCAGCATCGAATCATTGTGGACCGCGCTATTAATCGGAACTGTCATAGATCTCAGTTCTCGTTCAATAGCCGTGCCGCTAGATGGCTGATGATTCTGACTGAATGTAGAAGTGGTCTACTTGCCATTGAACATGCTAAAGGCGTCTATTAAACGGGAACTGAGATTCATGACAGACAATAGCAGAGGTGCGCGATCCACAATGGTTCCATTCTGGTGCGATAGATGGCGCTTCTCGCTATTTCATGCTGAGTATTTATTTGCTTTCGTACATCAACTGAAAATGCCTTGATATCGTCTTGTTGTAGAATATGTTAAAGCATGCTTTTCAGCTGAGGTTTTTAATCTATCCGTTCATTACTACGGGGTGTCCCATAAGAGCGTGCCTTTTTGATTCACTGTTGACAATACCAGGTCGAGCTAGAGAGGGAGTGTCGTCGGTTGTTACTGACATTATTGCAAATTCATTTGCCATGGATCAGTTCACGGAACATCAACAAGCGTTATGTCCGTGCACCTTACGAAAGCTGTCATTACATATACATAACTGCATGGTTTGTTGTATTAATTTGATTAAGATGTGAGTAAATCGGTTAGAAAAAACTGCTTTTATGCTTAAACAACGCGGCAAAGGACGACATTGAGCGATCGAAAGCATATCACCCTGCAGGTGTGCCTGATTGCCCGACAAACATTAAAGAAAATTTCAGTAAGCTGCGATCGAGGTTAGAAGGTAGTCGTGCTTGCGAGGGAACAAAGTTGATTGATTTGAGATGCAGAAAATAAATTACAGTTTTTCCCGTAACGCTCTTTACTATACACAGATAACTATAGTGTTGTGGTCACCGTTCTTGGCAGTTACGTCATCAACGCCATATGAAATAAGGAAACAGATCAAGTCTCCGATGTCAAGTAAGTTGTCACTCTGACAAATATGATTGGAGGGGCACTCATACGTAACGACAACGTTTTCGAGACGACGACTCACAACTAAAAAACGTACGTCTTTGAGCTTACCGAACAAACATTCACACATAGGGGTAGGTTGCATGTGTACGTGTGAGGGAGATGGAGATATATAAAGGGATACTGGTAGTCTTACTTTGACCCGCCAAGAACCGTGACTATAACACTGATATTTGGAGAATGCACATCTCTATGGGCAACCCTGTACAAAACATTTTGTACTTCTGAACTATCCAACATCTTAATTATGAGGCCATTTAGAGATTTTGCTGAATGAGAATGTTAGTCATACAAAAGTTGTTCCGTTTGATACCCATAGGGTCCTACAGAATGATGACAAAGTACAAATTCGACCGGTAATAAACATGTCAGTGCGCATTCAAATTCGATGAAATTTTTCGTGCCCTGAGTTTGGGCCGCCCAGCATGGTTGCAAATAAGAAATCGCAATATTATATGACATGCAAACGACGAAAAATCATACCACTCATGTCGTGAGATGAGTCGGTGTCTATGTCTGTCTGTCGTCTGTCTGTCGTCTGTCTGTCGTCTGTCTGCCGTCTGTCTGTCGTCTGTCTGTCGTCTGTCTGTCGTCTGTCTGTCGTCTGTCTGTCGTCTGTCTGTCGTCTGTCTGTCGTCTGTCTGTCGTCTGTCTGTCGTCTGTCTGTCGTCTGTCTGTCGTCTGTCTGTCGTCTGTCTGTCGTCTGTCTGTCGTCTGTCTGTCGTCTGTCTGTCGTCTGTCTGTCGTCTGTCTGTCGTCTGTCTGTCGTCTGTCTGTCGTCTGTCTGTCGTCTGTCTGTCGTCTGTCTGTCGTCTGTCTGTCGTCTGTCTGTCGTCTGTCTGTCGTCTGTCTGTCGTCTGTCTGTCGTCTGTCTGTCGTCTGTCTGTCGTCTGTCTGTCGTCTGTCTGTCGTCTGTCTGTCGTCTGTCTGTCGTCTGTCTGTCGTCTGTCTGTCGTCTGTCTGTCGTCTGTCTGTCGTCTGTCTGTCGTCTGTCTGTCGTCTGTCTGTCGTCTGTCTGTCGTCTGTCTGTCGTCTGTCTGTCGTCTGTCTGTCGTCTGTCGTCTGTCTGTCG